CTTGTTAGGAACAAGTGGCAACTTTTTTTTTTTTTGAGACAGAGTCTCACTCTGTCACCCAGGCTGGAGTGCAGTGGCCTGATCTCGGCTCACTGCAAACTCCGCCTCCTAGGTTCAAGCAATTCTCTGCCTCAGCCTTCCGAATAGCTGGGATTACAGGTGCCTGCCAACACGCCCAGCTAATTATTTTTTTATTTTTTATTTTTAGTAGAGACAGGGTTTCACCATCTTGGCCAGGCTGGTCTTGAACTCTCAACCTCATGATCCACCTGCCTAGGCCTCCCAAAGTGCTAGGATTACAGGCGTGAGCCACCACACCCAGCCTATAAGTGGCAACTTCTAAGCTACCTACCTGCTGGACTGAAAGCTAAAAGCCCTGCTGCTTATAATGAGAAGCCAGACACTAATCATATAACTGTTGTTCCCTTGCATGTGATGAGTAATTTTTCTTTTGCTGTTTTTGAGCTTATGCCTTTGGCTTTCAACAGTTTGACTAGGATGTATCTAGATGTGGTGGATCTCTTTGTGACTGTCCTACTTGGAGCTCACAAAGTTTCTTGGATATGTATATTAATGTTTGTGGTAGCCTAAATAATAACTTTCAAAGATGTCCACATTCTAATCCTAATCTCTAGAATCAGTGGGCATGTTACTTCACTTATATGGTAAAAAGAAACTTTGCAGCTGTGATTAAATTAAGAATTTTGAGATAGGGGGATTATTCTAGACCCTCCAGAAGAAATCAAGCACTGCTGATGGCTTAATTTTAGGACTTCCAACTTTTAGAACTGTAAGATAATAAATATGTGGTTTATTAAGCCACTAAATTTGTGGTAATTTTATTATAGCTCTCAGCAAGTATGTCACAGACTCCTGCTGCTCTTACTCAAAGTTCCATGTTTCTTCATGAATAAATGCTTCTTTTTTAAAAAATGGAGTTTTGCTCTTTTGCCCAGGCTGGAGTGCAATGGTGAGATCTTGGCTCACTGCAACCTCTGCCTCTTGGGTTCAAGAGATTCTCCTGCCCCATCCTCTTAAGTAGCTGGGATTACAGGCATGCACCACCAAGCCCGGATAATTTTTGTATTTGTAGTAGAAACGGGGTTTCACAATGTTGGCCAGGCTGGTCTCGAACTCCTGACCTCAGATGATCCACCCACCTCAGCCTCCCAAAGTGCTGGGATTACAGGCATAAGCCACCATGCCTGGCCAAAGAAATGCCTCTTGATTTATTGTCTGTCTTAGGTCAATTTCCACACCCATGAAATGGTTGTTTTTGACAATTTCATCCTGTTTCTTTTTTTTTTTTTTTTTTTAAGACGGAGTCTCGCTCTGTCGGCCGGGCTGGAGTGCAGTGGCATGACTCAGCTCACTGCAAGCTCTGCCTGCCGGGTTTACGCCATTCTCCTGCTTCAGCCTCCTGAGTAGCTGGGACTACAGGCGCCCGCCACCTCGCCCAGCTAGTTTTTTGTATTTTTTAGTAGAGACGGGGTTTCACCGTGTTAGCCAGGATGGTCTCGATCTCCTGACCTCATGATCCGCCTGTCTCGGCCTCCCAAAGTGCTGGGATTACAGGCTTGAGCCACCGGGCCCGGCCCATACTTTTTTAATAGGTTGGTTTTCTAGGAGATTTCCCAGCCTCCTTGTCTGCCATACCAGATACCTTGCCCTCTTGCCAAGGACCTTTTATCCATTCAGACACTCTATGCCTTAATTTTTTTTTTTTTTTTTTAAATAGAGATGGAGTCTTGTTATGTTGCCCAGGCTGGTCTTGAACTCCTGGCCTCACGTGATCCAGTGATCCTCCTACCTTAGCCTTTCGAAGTGTTGGAATTACAAGTATGAGCCACCATGCTTGGCTAAAGAAAATTCTATGCTATTTAACTGGAGAACTGAATCCATTAACATTCAGTGTTATTATTGATAAGAACTTAATACTGCCATTTTGTTCCTTATTTTCTGGTTGTTTTGTAACTCCTCTCTTCCTTTCTTCTGTTCTTCCTTTGTGGTTAAGTGATTTTCTCTGGTAGAATGTTTTGTTGCTTTGTATTTTTAGTAAACCTATTGTAAGTGTTTTGTATTGTGGTTCCCATGAACCTTACAAAAAAAATCTCACAGATGTAACAAGTCATTTTAAAGAGATGACAACTTATCTTAAATAACAAAGAAACAAATAGAAATAAAGAAAAATATGTTAAAAAAAAAAAAAAAACGCTTCTACACTTTATCCTCATCCCCCACATTGACTTTTAGTTGTCTCAATTTACATAATTTTATATTATCTACCTCTTAACAGGCTGCTATACCTATTATTGTTTTGATAGATTTGTCTTTTCTAGCTCCACACTAGAGTTATGAGTGAATTGCACACCACAATTACAGTATCAGAGTATTCTGGGTTTGTCCATGTACTTACCTTGATCAGTGGGTTTTATACCTTCAATGGTTTCCTATTTGCACATCGAGTGTTTTCTTTCTGTTTGAAGAACTCCCTTTAGCATTTCTTGTAAGGTGGGTTTAGTGGTGGTAAATTCTCTCAACTTTGGTTGTCTGGGAAATACTGTATCTCTCTTTCATATTTGAAGGACAATTTTGCTGGATACAGTACTTTTGAATGGCAGTTATTTTTTTCTTTCAGCACTTTGAAAATGTTCCACACCTCCCTGGCCTGTATGGTTTCCTGTATGCTTTTTTGCATCGTGGTTCCCATGAGGCTTCTTCATCGAGAAGTCTGTTGCCAGACAAATTGGAGCTCCTTTATGTTATTTGCTTCTTTTTTCTTGCTGCTCTTAGGATTCTCTCTTTGTTGACCTTTAAGAGTCTGATTATTATATGCCTTGGGGTCTTATTTGGGTCAAATTTGATGTTCTCTGATTTTCCTGCTCCCGAATATTTGTATCTTTCTTAAGTTGTGTAAAGTTTTCTGTTGTTATTTCTCAGACTAAGGTTTCTCCCCTTTGCTCTTGCTCAACTCTCTCCTGAACACCAATAATTCTTAGTTTGGGCCTTTTCAGGTAATTTTCTGTATCTTATGGGCAATCTTCATGGCTTTTTGTTATTTTTTTTTCACTTTTGTGTATTTTCTGGTTTTGTTTGTTGGTTTGTTTTTTATAGTTTTGCTCTGTCGCCTAGGCTGGAGTGCAGTGGCATGATCCTGGCTCACTGCAACTTCCACTTCCTGGGTTCAAGTGATTCTCCTGCCTCAGCCTCCTAAGTAGCTGGGATTTCAGGTGCACGCCATCACACTCGGCTAATTTTTTATACTTTTTGGTAGAGACAGGATTTCACCACATTGGCCAGGCTGGTCTCCAACTCCTGTACCTCAAGTGATCTACCCTTGGCCTCCCAAAGTGCTGGGATTACAGGCATGAGTCACCGTGCCCAGCCGTGTATTTTCAAATCATCTTTCAGCTCACTGATTCTTTCCTCTGCTTGATCCATTCTGCTGCTGAAAGCCATTAATGAATTTTTCAGTTTAGCAAATGTATTTCTCAGTTCTGAGATTTCTGTTTTTTATTTCAATATCTTTGTTAAGTTTCTCTGATAAATTTCTGAATTGTGTGTGTGTGTGTGTGTGTGTGTGTGACCTTGGAGATTATTGAGTTTTCTTGAAACTACTATTTTGAATTCTTTTTTAAAGAATTATTTTTTAGGGCTGGGCATGGTGGCTTCTCCCTGTAATCCCAGTGTTTTGGGAGGCTTAGGTGGCAGGATTGCTTGAGCCCAGGAGTTTGACAGCAGTCTGAGCAACATGGTGAGAACTTGTCTCTACAAAAAATATAAAATAAATTTCAAAAATTATTTTATTTTTTAAATAGAGACACTATCTCACCATGTTGCCCAGGCTGGTCTCAAACTCCTGGGCTCATGTAGTCCTCCTGTCTTAGCCTCCCTGATGCTTGGGATTACACGCCTGAGTCACTGTGCTGGCCTATTTTGAATTCTTGATCCTCCCACACTGTGCCCAGACGACCTGTAGGTAAAAACCTCCTGCAGTGTTGTGTTGCTGAGTAGCCATTATGATTTGCCATCTCCTTTGAATTACAGAGCAGAGTTTCCAGGGCTGGGGATGGCAGTCCTGCCTCCCACCTTTGTCTCTGCCTGTCCTCAGGATTTCCCCCTTCAGGCCCTTGAGATGCTTCCTGTGGGTTAAGGCAGGGACAAATCTCCTGCTAGGGAATCCAAGATGATGAGGATGTTGGTTGTTCATCTCAGTCTTACTTTTTCCAGTGCAAAAATGGTGACTTGCAGGGAAATTTTCCTCACACTTGGTGCCAGGCAGAATGGATGTGGAAATCCAATTCTCTTACCAACTGCTGGGAGCTTTTTCATTTCTCCATGGCCTCGAGAATTGTCTCATCTTCATGTTTGAGTTCTGGGACATTTCTGGTGATAATCTCAGCACTATACATTTGTTTTTGGTTTTCTGTGGAAGTGAGTGAAGTCAGTTTGTTTCTGTGTTGCTACTTTGGAACCAGAAGTAGTCCAAATATATATTCTCATTTCTGCACTCTTTTTGTTAACCCCATGTTCAGTGGGCTGACTTCCATGTGTACTTCAGGGCCCCAAGTTCTGCCATAGCCCAAGGCTTCAGAGTCTTCACTGATATAAGGCACGCTGGTTTTGGTCTACAACAGTGACAGCATTTAAAATGTCCTGAGATCACTGGCTACAGCAAGACCCCCAGCTCTGTTCAGCAACTCAACAGACTCTAAGCGCCACAAATTTCCCAAGGACTTATTAATATAACTATCCCACTGCTAGAAATTAAAATCTTGATAACACAGACAAAAAACCCTAATCACATAGAAATTATGTCTCTGAAATAATCCTATCCAAATGCCTTCATAGTAATGCATGTCAATTAGAAACTTTCAAGAAGAGATGCCTTTTAAGACATTATATATGCCAAGTTAAATAAAAAATGTTTGGGGAAAAAGGCAATATCCTTAATTCCAAGTTTATGAGAAAAAAAGACAGTAGATCATTGCAAAACTTACCTCTTGTTGTAAGAATTAACGTTTCCTCACTTTAACCAGTACCCTTGGCCTGGGGTCAATTGCTATAGTTGTCCAACCACATCTTCCTTCTGATTCAGTAAGAAACCACATTTTGTTTCTTGCAATTCATTGTTTTTTCCACAAAATAAATTCTCTTTAAATTCAAGTCTGACTTGCTTTTTGCTTAAGATCAAATTGCTAGCTGCCATTTTTCTATTGAGATATAAATAAATTTGAGGTGTGAATGACCACTTCACATGGCTGATACAGCAAACTATTGTTGGAACCAGGCAGATCTTGGATCAAATACCAACATCATACTAAGTGAGTACCTCTGAACAAGTTACTTAATGTTTTAGCCAGTTTCCTCATCTGCAAAATGTATCTAATATCTGCCTTATAAGATTGCAGAAAGGACTAAATACATATATGCATGTTTTTTGTTTTCTGTTTTGTTTTTGTTTTTGTTTTCTGAGACAAGGTCTCACTCTGTCACCTAGGCTGGAGTGCAGTAGTGTGATCTCAGCTCACTGCAGCCTTGACCTCTGGGGCTCAAACGATCCTCCCACCACAGCCTCCCAAGTAGCTGGGACTACAGGCGCACGTCACCATGCCCAGATAATTTTTTGTAGAGATCTGGTTTTGCCACGTTGCCCAGGTTGGTCTTGAGCTCCTGAGGTCAGGCAATCTGCCTGCCTCAGTCTCCCAAAGTGCTGGGATTACAAACATGTGCTATGCTACAGCCCCCAGGCTTATATGTAGATTAGGAGGCCTTTTATTTGGTTTAGCTAAATGATATTATTACAACAACTACTGGATTATCTATCTGGAGTGGGTGTTAGGTAATATAAAAAACAATAAAGAGAAGGAACGAAGAAAATGGATGAATTATTATTCTTCCTTGTGCCCAACACTAATGGGCAACAAAATTAACTACAGATGCTCTTCAATTTACATAGGGTTATATCTCAATAAACCCATCATAAGTTGAAAATACCATAAATAAAAATGCATTTAATACACCTAACTTACCAAACATCATAGCTTAGCCTAACCTACCTTAAACATGCTCAGGATGCTTACATTAGCCTACAGTTAGGCAAAATCATCTCAGATAAACCTATTTTATAATAAAGTGTTGACTATTTCATGTAATTTGTTAATGCTGTACTGAAAATGAAAAACAGAATGGGTGTATAGGTACTTGAGTATAGTTTCTACATGCATATGACTGTTGCACCATCATAAAGTTGAAAAATGGTTGAGTAAAACCATCTAAGCTGGGAACCATCTGTGGTTTAAATTTCCTTATCTCTCCTTATCCAGCAATGGAAAATGAAGCGACCTTTTAAAATTCCCCTTTTCATTAACTGAGATGCGTCTACAAGTACAATATTCTACCACATGCAACATTCTAAGAAATGTAACGTTTTCCCGTAAACCTGCATTTAAAAGTTTTTAAACACATTTTCTGAAGACTTGCTGAGAAACATTCCATTAAGTACCAAAATCGAAAAATTGACAGGTTGATTTCTTTTTTTTTTTTTTTTTTTTGAGATGGAGTCTCGCTTTGTCGCCCAGGCTAGAGTACAGTGGAGCGATCTCGGCTTACTGCAAGCTCCGCCTCCTGGGTTCATGCCATTCTCCTGCCTCAGCCTCCTGAGTAGCTGGGACTACAAGCACCAGCACCATGCCTGGCTAATTTTTCGTATTTACTTTTAGTAGAGACAGGGTTTTACCATGTTAGCCAGGATGGTCTTGATCTCCTGACCTCGTGATCCACCCACCTCGGCCTCCCAAAGTACTGGGATAACAGGCATAAGCCACCATGCCCGGCCTACAGGTTGATTTTTTTTTTAATCCACTAGAATGGTGGGGGTCTCTACCATTTCTCTGAATAGATTCCTTTGGAAATCTGATCTTTACTATGTCTGCTAAAAGGCAAGTATATAAAAAATTGTGGAAGTGATTTCAGGAGACCTACAAAACCCTTGAAGCCCATGTGTACACTCCAAGTTACAATACCTACTTTTACTGGAAAATCTTTTTTTTTTTTTGGAGACAGAGTCTCACTCTGTCACCCAGGCTGGAGTGCAGTGGCGTGATCTGGGCTCATTGCAATATCCGCCTCCTGGGTTCAAGTGGTTCCTCTGCCTCAGCCTCCCAACTAGCTAGGATTACAGGCATGCACCACTATGCCCAGCTAATTTTTGTAATTTTAGTAGAGACAGCATTTCACCATGTTGGCCAGGCTGGTCTCGAACTCCTGACCTCAGGTGATCCACCCACCTTGGCCTCCCAGAGTGCTGGGATTACAGGCGTGAGTCACCATGCCCAGCCTGGAAAATCCTTCTGCAATGCAAATATTCACCATTTAAACTTGGGTGAATTAGTAAACCTGGGTTTTTATAAATCTAGATTTCTTAAACTGAGGCAGTCCAGCATGACAAATGAAATGCTTGTTAGATTTATAGTTCCTGCATGTCGGAGCAACTGATTTGGAATAAAAATGTTGCTGCCATTTACTTCCTCTGTTTGATTTGGGAACTTATCCCGTTTGGACCCCAGTTTTCTCACCTCCAGAATGAGTAGATTCTCATTCTACCTGCATCTCAAGGCAGTTATAAGATAAGACCTAAAGAGGTAACAGTTCCTTATTCACCGTAAAGCATTACATGTTGAATGGAGTCTGCTGGAATGATCGGTCTTCAGACCTGTCCTCAGCTGCTATAAGCATCCTCTACTGCTGCATGTCTACATCGGGTGAGTGTTTCTCAACCTGAGAGTAAGAAATTAGATCACAAGAAAGCCCAGAATTGTCTAGAACCTCCTGCCAGAGTTCCTAGAACCCTTGGTTGCACTTGACCTGTCCACAGGTGCTCTCTCTCTGGTGGCCTAAGAAAGGCCACTTGATTCATCTCTGTTTCCTGTGCCATGCACAAGCTTGATGCAGAATAAACATCTGCTGACTTAATGATAAACAAATGAAAAGTAGATGTGAAAAAGAGCAAACACTTTTAACATGTTAGGCTCCCTGGCTGTAATCTTCTAGTTTTCAGTAACTGGGATTTCAGGACCCCAATTGCTGCCCCAAAGAGCCAGTAGTCAGCAATAACTACAACTCTTTTGTGCAGGCTGCCAGATTGGATCCTCCGAAAGGGATCACACAAGTGTATGAGAACCACTATCTGACTGTCATAATTTGTAAATCTCATGGGTTAAAATGAGAGGAAAAAAACTGACCCTCTGTAAATATCTGACAATGGATAGGGAGAGAGGAACTATGCTCCTTTCAGGTGTTTTTTATGTATTACAAAATGCTGTAACGTCACAATCCTTCATTCCTTTGAAAATGTTGTAGAAAACACTATATATGCCAACTTCACAAATCTGAAGTACATTTTTATTTCTAATATAATTAATATTTTGCCCATCCTGTGGCTATTTCTAACATGGCAGCTTTGAGTGAAACAATAATATTACACAGATGTCCAAATCATACTTTAAAAACAAGTAATTTTGGATGGGCACAGTGGTTCATGCCTGTAATCCCAGCATTTTGGGAGGCCAAGGCTGGCAGATCACTTGAGGTCAGGAGTTCAAGACCAGCTTGGCCAACATGGTGAAACTCCATCTTTACTAAAAATACAAAAATTAGGCCGGGCGCAGTAGCTCACACCTGTAATCCCAGCAGTTTGGGAAGCCGAGGTGGGCGGATCACCTGAGGTCAGGAGTTTGAGACTAGCCTGGCCAACATGGTGAAACCCTGTCTCTACTAAAAATACAAAAATTAGCCAGGCATGGTGACAGGTGCCTGTTATCCCAGCTACTCGGGAGGCTGAGGCAGGAGAATCACTTGAACCCGGGAGGTGGAGGTTGCAATGAGTCAAGATTGCACCACTGCACTCCAGCCTGGGCAACATACAAGACTCCACCTCAAAACCAAACAAAACCCCAAGTAATTTTTAGCCTATTACTATGAAAGGAAAATATCTTGGGCTCCTTCAAGCTGGGAACTGCTCAAGGCAAATCTACCTCCTATTCTATTCATAGTCATCCCTTTGCTCACAGAGATAGATGCATATTTTGATTGCCTCCTTTGGAAAGACTCTTCAGAAACTCAAAAGAATGTAACCAATTGTCTCTCACCTACCTGTGACCTGGAAGCCCTGGGAGTAATGGTGGGGTGGGGAAGGGGGGTGAGGGGGTGGGAGGGCTTGCTTGCTTTGAGTTGTCCCTGCATTTCTGGATGGAACTAATGTACTTCTTGCATATATTGACTGATGTCTCATGTCTTCCTAAAATGTATAAAACTAAGTTGTTCCCCAACCACCTTGGGCGCACATGTCTTCAGGACTTTCCGAGGCTGTGTCATGGGCACATCCTCAACCCTGGCAAAATAAACTTTCTAAATTAACTGAGACCTGTCTCAGATTTTCTGGGTTCACATTTTGGTAACCATGGGGGTATTCTGAGTGGGGATGCCCTTGACCTTTGACAAATTTCCTACCGGTGCTTGGTACCAGCATGAACTACCTTCATGACAATTTGCTGGGGTCTGAAAGCACTCCCTCCAGAGAATCCCTGATCTCCCAAAATTTGATCAAGGTCTAAAGTTTATTTTGCTGTATAACTCCTCTCTTTTTTTGGAGTTTTACCTGCTTCCAGCACAAGGAAGACAAGTGATTTTCCTGCTTCCATGATGATGGAAGGCAGTAACTCCTTTGTGGAGTTTGAGATTAGGGTTTTGTTTTTTTTTTCTTTCCTGCTTGTAGAAACCACTCTTCAGCCTGAGACCAATCTCTAGGTAAGTAACTGAACTGGGCTTTGTCTTGGTTAAAGTTAAGATTAACAACTAACTGGTCATAATTCCTCCTTACCATTAGAGTGCTCAGTGATCCTATTGCTCTGTGTGTGTGTGTGTGTGTGTGTGTGTGTGTGTGTGTGTTTGCTATTTTGTTCCTGTCTGAAGTTTTTGTTTAAGGATCCTAATTCTAGTTCAGAGATGCATTCTAAAGGGACTTCACTATTGCTTTTTCTCTCAAATTTAATCTTTTTTTTTTTTTTTTTTTAAGACGGAGTCTCGCTCTGTAGCCCAGGCCGGAGTGCAGTGGCCGGATCTCAGCTCACTGCAAGCTCCGCCTCCCGGGTTCACGCCATTCTCCGGCCTCAGCCTCCCGAGTAGCCGGCTAGTTTTTTGTATTTCTTAGTAGAGACGGGGTTTCACCATGTTAGCCAGGTTGGTCTCGATCTCCTGACTTCGTGATCCGCCCGTCTCGGCCTCCCAAAGTGCTGGGATTACAGGCTTGAGCCACCGCGCCCGGCCTCAAATTTAATCTTAATTCAGTTTGTCTGTATGCACTTGTGTGAGGAACTGAACTGTTTTTCTCAGTTGAGAAAAAAAAAGGCATTTTGCTCCTCCCAGCCGAAAGGTGCCCCTGGGTGACCGGTGGCCTCCTGGGGGTGTCTGGGGTTAAGTTCCACCCCTCCACAATGACATGCAGCAGCCTTGCAGGGAAATCCCCAACAGAAATTAATTTTTAAAATAGCTCTTCCAGGAAATACATATAAGCACTGATCACCCAGTGTTCTGAGCCCTCTCTGAGGTCATAGACTTCTGGAGAGAGAAAATGAGACATGTAAAAGGGTAGGAACGACTCAATGATGACATACTGTGTAGTCCTGCCCACAAGGAGCACATATCGATTCACCACATAAAAACCCTAGACTACAGCTCAGTTCTCGCTTTTAAGAAAAAAAAGAAAAAGGGCAGGAAACAAATAATCAAAGAATGATGAGAAAAGAAGGAGAATGACCCCCTTTTGAGCACTCCATAGGTTTTATGGCACCTCTACTTGCCAAAGTTTATGTAAAATGGAAATAATATGGTCTTTGTGCACATTCACATTAAAGAAAAAGAGGACTAAGGTTGACCTGCAAACTACAGAGTTCCTAAGTATTCTTTTTCTCTATTTTTTCTTTTCTGCCTGCTCTCCATCTGCTGTTAGTTTTCTATTAAGATAAAAACCACTGTTTAGATCCAACAAGCTATTTTTGCAAACCACTAAATATCTATTAATCTCATGGCTAAAAGTTCTGAAGTAAAAGCTATAGGGTGTTGGGGTGTGTGTGTATTTAAAAGACCTTTATAATTTCTATAACCCAAACTTTTTCTCTCCTCATCTTATAATGTAAACTGTGCTATTTGACTTTCACCTGAGTTGGTTCCTTTAACATGAAAATTTAAGGCTATTTAGCTGACAGCTGCCCAGGGTTGTAAAACAGGTTATCAAGAATCTGAAAGTCTGATATGAATCTACAAAATTCATTTTATGAATCTACAAAATGTACTTCTAATGATACTTCTAATGGTACTACAAAATGAATCTACAAAATGTACTTCTATTGGCATGCCTAATATGTCTACGTATTTACGTATTGTGTACACAATGTTTCACTATTAAAAATATATATAAAAGAGCTCTGAGTAATTGGCTTTAAAAAAGCACCTAAATCAGATACTAAAAAAGACTAGTCAAATGCTTTTTCAAGTTCATGTAACTTAAGTAAAATATTTAATAAATAAGCTAGTCTTAAAATTATTGGTAAAGTAATATTAGAAATGTCTTAACAATTGCCAGCATACATTTTTGCCTGCATTTATTAATCAAGCAATTTCATAATTCTCTGCCAGATATATTAAGGTGTCAACATATGGCACAGGGGTTTCAAAACTTTAAACCAGCCCAAAACAGAATGATCTTTGCTTGTGTAATTTTTAATAAATAAGACATTAATATTGGTTTAATGAAAATAGCTGCATCTTAAATATAGTAAGATTACCGTAACTTCTAATCTCATGGCTTTAGGCAGTCTAGTCCACAGGCAACAAGGAGGTTCCTTTTGGGAAAGGACTGTTACCATCTTTGTTTCAAAGCTAAACTATAAACTAAGTTCCTTCCAAAGTTAGTTCAGCTTATGCCCAGGAATGAACAAGGACAGCTTGGAGGTTAAGAGCAAGATGAAGTTAGTTAGGTCAAATCATTTTTCACTGTTAAGATTTTGCAGTGGTGGTTTCATAACTTTAAATTATGACTATCATAGTTTCAATAATGTATGTAAACAATTAAAATAATTTGGTAAATGTAATAGGATAAATACTTGTAGATAAACTGGTCATAATTTAGAACACAATGTTAAATTAAATAATAGGTATTTAATTATTTGGGTATTTTCCAATAAATATATATTGTAGGAAAACCCTCTTGCTAAAAAACAAAACACTCTTGCTAAAAGGTGAACAAGTTCTGTCTAATTCAAAGCTTAAAGGTTACATATAAAACAAGGTAAAAGGAACCAGAAAATAAAAAGAGACATAAAGAAAGTTATAAAAATAAAGAGGTAAATTTTTGTATGTGTGGTAAGAAAGTTTAAAGAAAAATAATTTTATACGAGAAAGAATCTTGTATGGTAAATTTAGTCCTAAAATAAAATGACTGGTTGCTTAAGAAGGAGGGATGTTTCAGGCATGGTGGCTCAAACCTGTAATCCCAGCACTTTGGGAGGCAGAGGCAGGTGGATCACGACGTCAGGAGATTGAGACCATCCTGGCTAACACAGTGAAACCCCGTCTCTACTGAAAATACAAAAAATTAGCCGGACGTGGTGGCAGAAGCCTGCAGTCCCAGCTACTTGCGAGGCTGAGGCAGGAGAATGGTGTGAACCCAGGAGGCAGAGATTGCAGTGAGCCAAGACCATGCCACTGCACTCCAGCCTGGGCGACAGAGTGAGACTCCATCTCCAAAAAAAAAAAAAAAAAATAGGGAGGGATGTTCAAGAGAAATCAGAAAGCCTAGAAAGCCCAAGCATGTCATGAATGATCAGTGTAAGTTGCAATAAGAGGATTTTTTTTTTTTTTTTTTTTTTTTTTTTTTTTTTTTTCAAAAAAGAGGCTGGGCATAGTGGCTCATGCCTGTAATCCCAGCACTTTGGGAGGCCAAGGTGGGCGGATCACAAGGTTAGGAGATTGAGACCATCCTGGATAACACAGTGAAACAACATCTCTACTAAAAATACAAAAAATTAGCCAGAAGCCGGGCACGGTGTCTCATGTCTGTAATCCCAGCACTTTGGGAGGCCAAGGCAGGCGGATCACCTGAGGTTGGGAGTTTGAGAACATCCTGACCAACATGGAGAAACCCCATCTCTACTAAAAGTATAAAACTAGCTGGGCGAGGTGGCATATGCCTGTAATCCCAGCAACTCGGGAGGCTGAGGCAGGAGAAACGCTTGAACCCGGAGGGTGGAGGTTGTGATGAGCCAAAATTGCATCATTGCACTCCAGCCTGGGCAACAAGAGCAAAACTCCATCTCAAAAATAAAAAAAATTAGCCAGGCGTGGTGGCAGGCACCAGTCCACGCTACTCTGGAGGCTGAGGCATGGAGGCTGAGGCAGGAGGATGGTGTGAACCCAGGAGGCGGAGCTTGTAATTAGCCGAGATTGCACCACTGCACTCCAGCCTGGGTGACAGAGTGAGACACTGTCTCAAAAAAAAAAAAC